AATAAAGTGTAACAAAACAAACACCACTCGGGTGATAACACAACTACGAATCACTGCAATAGTAGATACACAACAGAGACAACACAGCCTGCAACATCCTACAAACTAGGTCTCTGTAGTTATGTGTCTCTTTGTCGCTGTTTTGTGTCTCTTTGTGGTCATTTTGTGTCTCCTCGTGGTCTTTCTTTCTCTCTTTGTCACTGTTTTGTGTTTTTTTGTGGTCATTTTGTGTGTCTTTGTCCCTGTTTTGTTTCGCTTTGTGGTCATTTTGTGTCTCTGTGTTGCTGTTTTGTTTCGCTTTGTGGTCATTTTGTGTCTCCTCGTGGTCTTTCTTTCTCTCTTTGTTGCTGTTTTGTGTGTCCTTGTAGTCGTTTTGTTTCTGTGGTTGTTTTGCATCCATTCATAGTTGTTTTGTGTGTCTTTCTCACTGCTTTGCATCTTTCTATTTTTTGGTAAAGTCAGTTTAACATCCTAAAACCCATAAATGTACCACCTGGAGTTCATCGTCCTTTCTAAAATATCCACTGCCAGTCGGAGAACCGGACCTCTGAGTGAACAGCTGTCATGTGACTCACCTTTGACCACCCTCAGGTTCATGATCACCTTCTTGTCGTTGAAGATGCCGTCGATGTCGACCCTGCAGCAGTACGGCCCGCTGTCCGTCCGCCTCACGTTCAGGATGTCCAGGTCCATCTGTCCGTCCAGGACGTCCCCCGTCAGCCGGTACCGGTCGGCCACCTGCAGCACCGGGTCGGGGTTTGAGTGAGAGCCAGATTAGTGTTGGTGTCCAAAAAAGAAGCAGCTAAAGTCGAACTTAGAGCTCTGAACATCAATTAATTATTGCTAGAAGTAAACAGCAGTCACTTTGTTGCACTTTTTGGTCACTTTGTGTGTCTTTGTAGACATATTGTGTCTATTTGTAGTTGTTTTGGGTTGTTTTTTTCATAGTTGTGTGTTTCTGAAGTTGTTTTGGGTCTATTTGTTGTCATTTTGTGCTTCTTAATAGCCGTTTTGCATCTTTTTATGGTCATTTTGTGTGTCTTTGTAGACATATTGCATTTATTTGTAATTTTTTTTGGGTCGCTTCTCTCATAGTTGTGTTTTTCTGAAGTAGTTTCGTGTCTGTTTTGTGTCTCTTTATGGTCATTTTTTATTTCTTTGTCGACATATTATATCTGTAGTTGGGTTTTTTTGTCACATTTTTCACATTTGTGTGTTTCTAAAGTTGTTTTGTTTATCTTTTTGATAATGTTGTGTTTCCTAATAGTTGTTTTGCGTCTCTTTTTTTGTTCATTTTGTGTATCTTTGTAGACATTATGTCGCTGTGTAGCTGGTTCGTGTCTCTTTGTGGTCATTCTGTGTTTCCTTGTTGTAGTTTTATGTCTCTTTATTATATTGTGTCTTTGTAGACCTATGTGTTGTAGTTTTGTGTTTCTTTCTCATACTTTTGTCTGTCTGTGGTTCTTTTCTCTTCATTTGTTGTTTAGTGTCTTTGTTCTTGTTTTGCATCTGTTTTTACCCATTTAGTGTTTCTTTGTGTGCTTTTGTCTTTGTTTCGCATGTCTTTGTAGCTGTTTAATGTCTACGTGGTTGCTTTGCATATTTGTTTGTTCTTTTTGTGTATATATTTGTACGATCACGTGTTTCTTTGCGGCAATTTGTGTGGTAATTTTCTGCGCCTTTGTCTTTTGTTTTGCACGTCTTTGTAGCCGTTGCGCCTCTCTGCGTTGTTTTGAATCTATTTGTCGTCACTCCGTGTCTGTTTCTGTTCATTTTGCATTGAGTTAAAGTTGTTTTGTGTTTCTTTGAAGACGTACTGTGGCTCTTGTGTGGTCATTTTGTGTCTGTTTTCATAGTTTTNTCTGTGCAGACATATTGTGTCTTTGTGTCATAGTGTTTGTCTCTTTTTATAGTTGTGTGTCTCTGTGGTTCTCATCCATTTATTTGTTGTCATTTTGAGTATCTCTGTTATCTGAACCCATTTTGTGCCTCTTTGTGGTCATTTTGTGAGTCTTTTTCACAGTTTTTTTTGTGTATTTTGTGGTCATTTTGTAAAGACATAGTTCTACTGTAACGTTCTCAAATGTCTGAGGGGAAACATTCAAACAAGCTGTGTGGGGTTTTTGGCCACAACAGCACAATCATCGCTGTCCATCCACCGTAGTCGCCAAATTTGTTTTCTTCAAATCTTGTTCTTCTACCACAAAGTGAAATTCAGGTTGACGGCTCGCTGCTTGACGTGCTCACAGAGCGTCGCTGTCAGGGAGCGTTAAAATCGCTGCAGGAGCACCGGGAGCAGAGCGTCGCTGCACCGGGACGCTGCTTCGACATACATTACACCACGAAAACAGACGTTAAAGGAAGATTAGGACGTGTGAGATGACGTACGTTTGAAGGCCAGGAAGAGGAAAACTGCAGCCAAGATCAACAAGACGCTGACGGAGAGCGAGAGGACGGGAACGTTGATCTGCAGGGAGAGCGACGGCACAGAGTCCTCCACCTGAAACAGAGAGGCAGCGGGTCAGACATGTCAGCAGCTCACAGCATCTACATACACAGACATCGTGTTTTAGGTCAATCCTAGTACCTGGTTGTCTCTGTTTCATAGTTTTGAACCTCTTTGTGTTCATTCTGTGTCTCTGTAGTTGTTTTCTTTCTCATTTTGTTTGTCTTCGTTATTATTCTGCATCTATCTGTACCCATTTGTCTCTTTATGGACATTTTGTGTCTCGTTTTCATAGTTGTATGTCTCATTGGGATCATTTTGTGTCTCTGTAATTCTTGTCTTTCCATTTGTAGTCATTTTCAGAGTCTTTGCTCTTGTTTTGCGCCTATCTATATCCGTTTTGTGTCTCTCTGTGGTCATTATGTGTCTATTTTTCATACTTTTGTGTCTTTCTTGTTCAATTTGTGTCTCTTTTTTCTACTTTTGTGTTTGTTGGTCTTCGTTTTGTTTCTCTGTGGTTCTTCTCTTTCTATTTGTAAGATTTTTTTGAGTCTTTGTTCTTGTTTTGCATCGATTTTTACCCATTTTGTGTCTCTTTATGGGAATTTTGTGTCTCTTTTTCATAGTTTTGTGTCTCTTTGTGGTAATTTTGTGTCTCTTTTTAATTGTTGTATGTCTCATTGTGGTCGTTTTGTGTCTCTGTGGTTCTTGTCTTTCCATTTGTAGTAATTTTTTGAGTCTTTGTTCTTGTTTTGCATCTATCTGTACCCATTTTGAGCCTCTTTGTGGTCATTTTGTGTCACTGTGGTTCTTGTCTTTGTATTCGTAGTCATTTTGTGAGTCTTTGCTGTTGTTTCCATCTATCTGTATACATTTTATGTCTCTTTGTGGCCATTTTGTGTCTATTTTTTCTTCTTTTGTATTAGTTGTTCTTCATTTTGTGTCTCTGTGTTGTAGTTTTGTGTCCCATTTTCATAGTTTTGAGTCTCTGTGGTTGGTCTCGATTGATTCGTAGTCATTTTGTGAGTCTTTGCTCCTGTTGCGTCTATGTGTACCCATTTTGTGTGTCTTTGTGGTCAAGCAGAGCGTTACTGGACTGTAGCTAGTGAAGGAGCGCTGTGACAGAAATCGTATGAGGCTCAGTTAAACGTCCCCCGTACAATTTAAGTGCTAAATGAAGGAATGAAGCTCACAGCCACGGTGTCGGAGCGCAGCAGGGTGGAGTTCCTCCTCAGAAGCTCCAGCTGAGACGACAGCAGGGTTTTCCAGTTCACTACAAGGAGACAGAAAACACAGAGAGCTCAGCAGACAACTCAGTTCCACAGAAGTGCATTTCTATGCAGTGAACTGCACCTTCAGTCACATTTAGTGTTCGTTTTGTGTGGCTTTGTCGTTGTTTTGCAAGTCTATATCGCTGTTTGTGTCCCTCTGACATTCTACATCTATTTGAAGTCACTGTATGTCTCACTGTGGTCTGTTATAGTTTTATGTCTCTTTGTACTCATTTTTGTCTCTTTTTCCCAGTTTTGTGTTTCTTTATTGTCATTTTGTGTCTCTTTGGTTCTTGTCTTTCTATTTGTAGTCATTTTGTGAGTCTCATTTTGTGTTTCCATTTATCTGTACCCATTTTGTGTCTATTTTTCATAATTTTGTGTCTCTTTATGGTCATTTTGCATCTATTTTTTTCAAAGTTTTCTGTTTCTTTGTGGTCATGTTGTGTCTGTAGGTTGTGTCATGTTGTTCATATATCTGAGAATGCAGGTTCGTTGTACTTGAAGGTAATTCTGTTCAGATGGAAACCTGCCTCACCTGTGGAGGCCGGCGGCTCCGTTGCTCGGTCCGTCAGCGCCGCGGCGCTCGTCGTTGTGCGAGGAGGACTGGTGACCGGAGCTGCAAGACAGAAACCAGTTCAACCAGAGAACCTGAACCAATCAGCGAGAAATCAGCAAATATGGTCAAAGACTGACTTCAGACAGAAAACACCCGGATGAGCTTTTCAGCAACGCGTCGGCAATAAAGTGTAACAAAACAAACACCACTCGGGTGATAACACAACTACGAATCACTGCAATAGTAGATACACAACAGAGACAACACAGCCTGCAAC